ATCTCTCATTTGTGTCAGTCCCTCCGGCCCAGCCTATTCCAGCCGCGGGATAAGATTGATTCAGGCCATGCTTGATGAACAGCGAAAGATCAATGTTGTTGTGGCTTTATAGGTGCCTGTATGGACTAAGCCAGAAGCGCCATATTACCTCCCCTCATCTCGGCTCTTGTTGAAGCCGGGCGCCTTGATCCCAACATGAGCTCATGCTCACACCGGCTATTTTGAGACCAAATCTGCAACACCACGCGAATTTGTATGCATTCTGAACCCTGTGGGTGCTCACATATTTACCTGGATAATTGCCTCCCGTCTAATTGGTGTCTTTTTTAAGTCTCCCCTTGCTTGTACTTGCCTCTACTCCCACTTCTGCGCGTGAATTTCATGCCCATACCTCGTACACTGGATGCCGCGATAGCTTAATTTTTCTTTCGTTGCAATGCATGCGTTGCTGACCATTTTGTTACTCCAAACCGGTTTCAAACGTCCGTTCCCTAGCATTAAGTCCAGCGAGGAGGCAACACTACAGGATATCTGCCTTTGGCATTGCCCTTCTGGGGGTGCGTGCTCCGTTTTTCCTCCCCTTCAGCCCTCCTCCACCCTCTCACCCTCTCGTTCATATCCCTCCTTCCCCCGTCGTCCTCAATTTACCAACTCCTCCACCTCTCCTCCACCCTGACATCCGTAGTCTAACAGGAACCTGGGCCGACCCGATTGATCCGGAAGGGCCTAACAAATGGCGTACAGGTCTTCGGGTTCTAACAATCAGGAGCTTGTGGCAAATCTGCAGGGTAAGGGGGGTGGGGGGGGGAGGGCAGCAAAAAAGAAGGGACAGAGTGACGTCGAAGCGCATGGACAACGGAGAGCCTGGAAGCGTCTTGCCGCTGAGGCTCTTTTAGGGTCGCTTTCCTCACCACTTTCCTGCGTTCTCTGCCTTTTGATGGCCTCAGGATATGGGATCGTTCGCTCAGCTCGCATCCTGGAAGCCTTGCGGCGTGTGGACCGAGGGGATTTCGTCCCGGGGGAGGTAAGGAGGGAGGGATGAAGGGAGGGAGGGAGAGAGAAAAGGAAGGAAGGAAGAAAGACGTTCCTGGAATGAATACAGAAATGAAGAGACAGG